CACATATCAGGCCATGCTTTTAAGCATCCCACTGGTACAATGTTTACTCTACTTCAGAACTTCAACCTTCTTAACTTACAGCAACTTCTTACGGATGGTAAGATCTTCAAGGCACCTGGTGCCAATACAGTCTTCATTCTGGTTGACCGCGAGATCAGCCCCATCCTCTTCCATCTTATCAGGGTATTGATAAGATACTGATTATCTCATAACACCTATAGACCAGCCTGATTTGGTGAAGATCAGTTACAAGTGACACCGTGTAGTGGCAAATTTTTCCATTTTGGCTATTGGTAAGATAAACAGATCTATGTCCAATGACATTTACTGTCACCCAATGGAGTACTAAATTCATTGTGATGCAGTATTTTCACTTGGCCCCCATGTGGTATTGAACTTTGGACCTTGTAATTGTGACCTGGGAGCACTATCACTATGCTATAGACCCACAGGTCAACTTTTGAAAGTAATTATATATATATATATTTTTTTTTAAATATTGGCTCATTCTTATATCAGTTCAAAAGCTTTTATTATAATTAAGATATATCCTAGGAATAACCAGGATGAGTAATTATCTATACTGTCTAAGGATTTATGGATCAACAAATAGTATAATGAATATCTATTTATATCTTATCCAATCAAAATAAGATAACTATATAATTATCTAGTATAAAATTGTTTATTAATCCTAACTAAGCTAAAGGATTTGAGGAGTTTATACATTCAATTAAATAAAGTGATTTCACCATTTTAAACCTATATATTACTGAACTTGTATTTTCTAAAACCATGATTCACTAGACAACTTGTTGTTATTCCTATTAAGAAAACTAATATGTCGAGAATTTATCTAAAATGTTTAGTACCACTGATATTGGAGGTTTTTTATATAAAACCTATATGACTCTATTAGTGTTTAAAGTTTTTCTGAAAGCTGTTTTGTATCTTAATCTATTTTGTTACTTATTTAAAGTTTAGTTTTGTATAAAAGACATTAATTATTCAACTGTTAATCTTAATTTAAAACCTGTTTATATACCTTTAGTATCACACCAGGCTAATAATTATATATAATTTTAGTTTTTTATTTTTTTTTTTTTATCTTAATATATTAAATTTAATAATAATAATATTTTTTTTTTTTTTTTAATTTTAAATAACTTAGTAAACTTTAGTATATTAAGTTTCTTATTATTTGGAAAAAATCAATTAAAATAAAATTTTTAAACAATTAATTATTGATAAATATATACTTTTTTTTTTTTTAATACTATCTCATCCTTGTATCAAGGTGACTGTTTTATTATAATAAAGATAGTATTTAAAGACAACCGGGATGAATAATTACCAATATTGTTTAAGGATTTACAGATCTCAAAATAGTACAAAGAATTAACTATTTATATTTCACTCTATCAGAATAAAATAACTACATGACTATCTAATATAGATATATCTCCTTACTATATTAAAACTATGTAGAAAGTAAAAAAAACAATCTAAACTTGTAAACACTATGGCACTTTCTAGAACTAGAGCCCACTGAGTAGCCTATTACTATCTCCTGAAGGGAAACTAATGTTTTAAGAATTCATTTAAAGTATTTAGTACCATTGATATTGTGGATTTCTTATATAAAGCCTTAACTTTACTAGTACTAGAAAAAATTTTTAAAAATAATGATTGTGTTTAAAAGAGTATATCAATATATGATGAAAGAGTAGATGTATCAAAACCTTCCAAAAAGATATTGTCTTAGGTGTCGATATATCTATTAAAAAGGAGAAGGAGTGAGAAGTCTTTATTGATTGTCCGATAAATCTTATTTTAACAGTTCTCTTTTCAAGATGCCTCTGATGTAAGAGATTTGCTTGTTCTATATCTATTTACACACAAACCAAGTGACTTATAGTGGATTTCAAGTTCTTGTGAAGCTGAGAAAATGCATTCAGATACATGAGATGACCAATAGAAGCTTGTTTACTTCTTTTACTAATATGAGCTCTATATGTTCAATCATGATATGAGAAAATTTATGCTACTCAAAATTTAAGATCAAATTGAAATAAGCAAAATTTCTTCAAAAAAACTAAGAATGAGTACTATTAGAGTATTACAAATGACAAGAGAGTAGAAACATTATCTCGTATCAATCCAAGACTATTTTGTGCTATTTCTTTACAGTATAAAATAACAACACATTAGTTTTTCTTTCTTTCAAAACTTTTTTGCCTTTGGTAAGAAAGATGTTGCTTGGCTTTTTGGTCATTAGTAGTCAAGTTTTTGTTTGAAGAGGGGTATTAACAAGAAGTGAAAAAAGTAGTGATGTTTCTTAAAGTTTTTCAAATTGGTTTAAAGAAAGTATTAAGACTTTATTAATATATAAATATAATAACTTCTTGCAAATGTTTTTTTTATATATAGTTAAAGGATTAGTAGAAAGAGTTGTTGGATAAATATATACTATAAGTTGATAAATAAAATAACCATAACACCAGATTCTTTAGACTAAGATTATGGAACTTAGAATTGCTAATTAAAGATAAGCATAACTTTATAAATTTATATAATATATATTATATTATTTTTCTTATTTTGATTAATAAAATTGAAAAATTTTTTATGTTAAAAATATATATATATTATAATTTTTATTAATTATTAATTTTATATATAAATAAATTTTAAGAAAAAAACTTTTTTTACTGGTTTTCTGATATATATAAAAAGATATTTGCAAGAAGTTTTTATATTTTTTTGTTAATAAAGTCTTAATACTTTTTTAAAATATAATTTCAAAAGTGTCTCTGTTTTTTTTTTTTAGTTTATAAACTATATTATTTAAAAACTTGACTTTTAGTAATTGAAAAATCAATTAATATTTTTTATATTAATGGCAAGAAGATTTTCAAAAAAAGAAAATCTAATTATGAAGTATTTAAAAATCTTTTTAACTTTTGAAACAAGAAGTTTATAAAGATTTTTTGTAATAAAAAGATTCATTTTCTTTTTTTTTAACTGTTTTTATTCTCTAAGAACTTTTATTTTCATAGTTTTTTAAAAAATTTTGCTAATTTCAATTTGATCTTAAATTTTAGATAATACAAATTCTTATTAAAGATAATTAGTTGATATAAAATACATTGATTTTTGAAATATAAACTAGTTTCTATTAATTATACTTATATATTTTGCAATATTATTGATAATTGAAAAGAATGTTTTGAAAATATTTATCTTTTTAAAACTCAAATCTCTTAATAAAAATATTTATAATATCAAAAAATCAAGTAATAAGTAATATAAATTATAGACTTTCAACTTTTATTTAAGTTTTTTAAGTAATAATAAAACTTTTATAAGCAAAAATTGAGATTTAAATATTTTCTTTGAAATATTCTAATTTAATACTTGTTTAAACAAAGAATTAATTAAATTGATTTATCCAATGCTACAAGTGATAACAATGAAGATTTTTTTTAAGATACAAGTGAAGTAAGAAGACTATTATAATCAGATAGATCTTTTTTGAAAAAAGATTATTTTTATTTCTGGACTTTTTTGGTGAATCTTGAATTATTTTCTTTTCTTATTTATTTTTTCTCTTTTTTTTTAACTTAGAAATTCATTGATTTTTGGATTAATTAATAGTGATAAATTGTTGACAATAATTCTAGTAGATAAAGATTAATGAATAATATTTAGAAGAACATAATATTGTTTTCAAAATCTGATTGAGTACTTATTTATAAATGAGTTGGTTACTTTGTGAAAATCTATAAATTATTGTAAATATTGTTTTAATTTCTTAATAAAGGCAAGCCATTATGACATGATTGTGGATTAATAAGAAAAAAAAAAATAAAACTAAATTTCAAGCAAGTAAATATTAAAATGCAAATATAAAATTCTTTAGAATAAAATCAAATTATTTCAAATATTTAAATTACAGTATATGCTATAAGCAGTTTAATGGTTTTGTTATTATAATATCTATTTTATCAAACCTACTTTATAATTTGTAATTTTATTTATCAAATGTTGCAATTATCGAAAAAATTTCTATGATGAGATGTTTTGATAGTTAAATGCTCGTTTTTCTAGAAAAATGAATTTTGGTTGTAATTGATATGCAAAACACCTATTTATGACTATCCGAACATTACTATTAAATCCCAGCACCTCTGTCCAGTGAATGTACATTGCTTTTTTTTCTATATCTTTGCTCTAAAAAAAAAATCATAAACATTATGTATATTCGTTATTTCCTTAAGAGTATAGAGGTGAAAATTAATAATAGTATATAGATATAAATTTTTTAATGTATGATAAAGGGGATGAAGTTTATCAGTACGTAAACTTATTCCTCCAATTCTTTATCCTTTAACAATCCACTCCCCCAACTTATAAGCACCCGTTTACATTCTTGTTTGATGTGATTGGATACTGGAGATTTCCATCTTCCCATAGCTGCGAATTGTCGCGCGTACAGAAGACATATTTCCCGCGAAAAGTTGATGTACATACGATCATTCACAACTTTCTGTTGTATTAAATGCACGCGTAAAAAGAAAAAAAAAAGAAAAAAATTTTTCAAATAAGAATAAGAATGCTCGACATATGTGACTCAAGAGATACGTAATACACGAACCTGCCATTTCGAATCCTCGAAAGCGGTAGTGTGAGAATTCGGGTTAAAATTATGCTGAATTGCGAAACCATTGTGAAGTACATATAAATTTGCTCCACTGGCATAAATTTGAAATAAGCATGCTGCTTTGTTATATCCTAATCGCTCTGTACACCTGCGTAACGAGTTGGAGGATCTTACTAGGTAGTCCATCTTTAAAACAAAAAAAAACAAATCGTACTAACCATGGATGCCCATTTTTTCTCGATACAAAATTAGGTCGGTAATTTAGATCGTATTCACTAATAATATAAGGTTTTTCACTCTTGAAGTACTTTGACAAACATGTCGGCCCTTGATTAAATTCCCATCCATAATCCTGCATGGCCATCATCTGATCTTTTACCAAAGTATGAACTTGTCGTCTCGTATTAGGAAACGTAAAATTCTCTTCCATGGTATTATTAATAAATGTGAAGGTAGGAACTATGAGCACATCATTTCTTAATAATATTCTTGAATTTTCCTTGATATTTCTTCGCAAACTCGGAGATGGCCAAGTATCGTGATCCAGGTAGAAGATGAACTCGGAACGTGCAAAAAATCTTGCTACATTCATATAAAAATTTGATTGTTTAGGATATGCGGTTCTGTTTCCGGATAAAGAAGGACCAGTTATGAGATGTATATCGACGTATTTTATGATGTTTGGATGGATTAAATATGCCTCCTTAAGCGCATTTGCTGTTTCTTGCGTCATAGGATCAGTGTCTAATTCTGAAGGCAGATGAAGAACAGCTGATATCGGACCTGTAATGGAGAAATCAATGGGAATTTAAAGAGATTATATCAAACTAGTCAAACTCCTAGCATTGAATTCCCGAGCGACTCACCTTTCCAAATGGTAGCCAATCTAACCAAATCTTCTATTCGATTCTGTGTTATAAATGTAGCAACGGTTACGTCATCTTTATTAAACTGAGACTCAGCAGGGAAATAATATGGATATATACGGTCGGTTAATGCATGTGATAAGTATGGGTGCATCTTTGAGAACCTATAATTCTTTTCCATTTCAGTTAATGGAGAAGTTTGATTTGTTTCTACATAACGAAAAAATTGGATAAGATTAGTCAAATCACTGTTGATTGATTTAAAACTACCGAAAGTTCTAATTACCATAAGTTCGTAGGATAGGTTTTAGACCGGTGTTCCCTGAACCCTTGAAAGTATACTCCATCAGTTGTGCGGAAAAAAATATAACGGAGCACGTTATATAGACCGTCAGTAAGTATTTAACTATTCTTGATTTCCATAACAATGAGAAGCATGCTTTTGCTGATGAGGCAATCATTTTAAAAGAGTGTGTTCTCGCTGATTCCAAGTATATTTACTGTATGTCGGTATAGTTACTTTGACAGCGAAAAGTTTATTTGTAGTGAAGTATATTTTTGATATTGCATATGTTATAGTTTTTGATTTTGAGATTTCGACTTCGAAGGTAGAGAAAATCCTTAATTCTTCACCACAAAAAATATTGAAAAAAAGAAGTGCGTAATTATTAGATTTATTAGACTAATAATAATAAGAAATCCATAAAGGAAAAGAAAGAAAAAAAATGTTGATTCACTATAAGTAGTAATACAGATGCAAATTTCGGATGATCTCTTAACCAAGTTAGATCGATTTAAATTAAACACAGATAATTCCGATCACGTTACAATGCCAAGATTTTTTTTTTTTTTCTAATATACACAATCACGCGATTATCGCGTGGATCTAATCTTATATTTTTTCACGAGAAATTTCCGTAGGCACTTTCGCCCCATTTCTTTAACCTTATGCTTTGAATCTTGATGAATCCTTCAGAATCCACAGGACTGAAACCACCTTGAACATCCATTGAACTTTCTTCCATATCATATAATTTTTCGGTATCCGACTTACGACCTTCAACAATGACATTGCCTTTATACAATTTCAATTTGATTTCGCCATTAACCGATTTTTGACTCGCCAAAAGTGACGCAGAAAGGAATTCTCGTTCAGGAGAAAAGTATAGGCCATTGTATAAAAGTTGAGAAAACTGTGGAGTAATGAATTGATCTCTCAAAGATCGAACCTGGCGATCAAGAACCAAACCTTCCAGATCTACGTGAGCAGCACGAAGAATAGTGCCACCGGGAGTTTCATAACATCCCCGACTCTTGATACCGATGAAGCGATTTTCGACTATGTCAATTCTTCCAATACCGTTCCTTCGTGCAACAGTGTTAAGATAGACAAAGAGATCCAAGGGATCAGCTATCGTGGTACCATCGTTATGATTCACAACTTTCACAGGTATTCCTTTATCAAACGTAATGGTGATACGTTCTGGCGTGTTGGGTGCATCTTCAGGATCAACGGTGAGTTTCCACATGTCCTTTGGTGGCGTTACGTTTGGGTCCTCGAGAATGCCTGCTTCATAGGAAATGTGGAACCTAATTGACACAAGCAAAGGCAAATTTCAAT